CAAGATTATTTTCACACCACCAGTAGCATCTATACTTTCAAACTTATTCTCAAAGTTTCACTGATGTGACTTTTACCCATAGGAATAAGCTGCATGAAACAGATCAGTTGCTTAAGGCAGAAATACGACTTAATTTTGGAAAGGCCTGTGTTGACTGCCTGCACAGAGATGAAATTCAGTCACTGTTTGGTAGACTTATTTTCTTCATACGATGTGCTAGAGCTGTCAAAAAAGTTTCAGTGCTCTTTCTGCTTTAAAACAAATCTCTTACCTGTAGGTACTTTCCTTAAAACACAGGGAATAAATAAATAAATAATATTAAAAAACCCCAAACTATATATATATATCCTCCTGATACGGAGGAAAGTGTGGGGAAGGAACACTACATGGCATAATATGAGAGGAAAAAGAGAAGAGAAAAGGAGAGCTGTTATGTTTCTCATTTCTTTTCCCTCTCCATGATTTTAAGCCAACCTGCCAATTTATGAATTCTTATTGTCTGGATTTGGCACTATTGCGCCACAAACTCTGTTATGAATGACTCCCTGTTCTTTCTTTTGGACTGTAAACTTCCTTGGACAGGAACCACTGTTTACTATACTGCTGCGGTGCATCTTGCCCAATCTTTGGATCAGAGGTCTGTGGGCAACTGCACTCATGGAGTAACAAGGGAAGGGCAATGACTTACCGTGCTCTCCCTGGCAAACTCAGTCCTAACAGGTTGCCCATAAACTGTGGTTTGGGAATCATTGTTCTAAGCTCACTTGTTTGTTTAACATATTCCACACTGTAGCTGAAGAATTTATATTCTCTTGACTATGCCAAACAAGATTGCAAGGCATGGTGGAGAATATTTACATAACCTTTCAATTTTTAAAAAAATTATTTTTAGTGCTAGTTTGCATATTTATACTTATAGTTTCAAAAGACACTAATGCAGTTAAGTGACCTTGAAATCCTTACTTATTTTTGCTACTGCTTGTAGATCTATTTCGTATTTGGGCAGATTACTTCTTTTTACTAAATTAGTAAACCTCTGTTTGTTTTGGTTGGTTTTGTTTTGTGTTTTTTAGAAGATACAATCCAGATTGCCTTTACTCTAAGGATTTATAAATTAAAAATCTCTCCTTTTACATACACTTCTGCATGGCTTGAAATACTAGCAGAATATATAATATATTCAACCACACTCGGTACATGACCAAGAAAAGAAAAAGGGTCAGGAAAGCACTAGCAAATTATGATGCTGGCTGGCAGATCCAGGACCCCAGCCCTCTGAAAATGAGAAGGCAACTGCTAGCTTGTGGTTAATTTCCATGAGGAAATGACTAGCTGCTCATCTATAGGTAAGTATAGGACTCAGTTATTAAAGACATGGGATGAATGCTTCAAAATGCACTACTGATCTTTTAATTTCCTAACAATTTTAAAAAACAAGTTTAAAGGTAATTTGAGGGTGCTTGATTTGAAGAGAACTAGCATGTAGTCTCTCTGATAGCATTTGTAGAGCCCCAACAACTGTTGAATAACTTGCTCTTTTAGTTTAATAGTAATGTCAAGATGGAGGCAGTAGAGAAATCAACTAGTGAGAAAAAAAATACAGAAAGTGAATAAAAAATTAAAGCAAGTATGTTTTTTATTGTGCCCATCCTGGATTTAAAACTTGAGATAGATTTTTTTCTTTGATTCTATTATTTATAGTAATTTAAAATATAAAGAAATGATGCTGATGTAGATGGGCTTATCCCATTCAAAATAAAACTTAATTATAAAATACAAAATGTCATAATCTGAAAACTACAGAAAAATAATAAAATATAACTAAATCTAAAACTATAAATCAGTTTAAAAATCAGAAGTTTAAAGTACAGATGCAAAGATGACCCCAAATACTGTTGCATTTTGACTTTAAAACTATTGAAATATTTCAAAAGATGTAACCTTTTATAAGACTTTCAGTGTAAATATTGAACCACTGAATTAAACTAGAGTTCATGTAATTTACAGTGCTAAAACTCTGTAGACATCACTTGTTTCTTTATTAAGTTGTTTTGCTAAAGACTCCACTCCCTAAAACTGAAAAGAATATCACATAGTTCTTTTCTGTAAACAAGTATGTCACTCAGTCTTCATGTTAGTTAGGTGGTAAGCTAAAATACTTTCAGAGAATACCAGTCTTGGTTCAGATATTTCTGTTCTCTTTCAATCAGAAGCCTCTGGTTTCAGAGACATTACCCAAGACATTGCTGTGTTTATAATTTAGCAAATATACTAAATGTGAAGTTCACTCCAATTTTGCTGGCAGATTATATTATCACATGATAGAAAGCATTCAGTCAGTGTTTGGCTAGGGACAAATTTACTTTAACAAACCTGAGATAACTTTGGGTTAACTTAAAAATATTTAGTTGTGTAGGATAATAAATAAGTCAGCTTTTTAAAGTTCTGTTTATGTCTTGGGTTGACTCCCAAGGTAAATTGTGGACGTTTTCAGGGTTATTACTTGAAATAATCCAAACCAATAAAAGAGCATACTTCCTAAAACAAAGACTTATCTTTTTCCATTTCTGATACTGCAGGTATCATTTAATTTGTTGTAATGTAATTTGTGGAAATAGTGGAGAAACTGAGGCTTGGTATTAGTAATCAAAAGTAGTTTCATTTTATAATGGCAGAAATGAAACTCTTTAGACACTTCTTCTTGGAGTATGTTATTTTGAATATATGCTATTTTTGGACACTGCAGAAAAATGCAAATTCATAATGCTCTAGTTTGGCCAGAAATATGAACACCAACATATTAAACCACATGACTGTGCTACCAGCTTAGAAGAAAACACAGAGGTCTCTGTTTCTTGTGAAGAAGGATGAACAAAGAGAACTTTTGATGTTTATTCTCCTGCACCCTAAAGAAAGAGGACTGTCCAAAATAGTGCCATTGTGGAATGATGCAACTAAGGCAGAGGATTCAACCTCATAGTGACCTTTTAATCTTCCTTGAGCCCTGTATCAAATTCTTCCTACTGCTCTGCATTTAAGAGATTTAGAAAACACTTCTTTAATGGTGTTTAAAGCTCTTATTGCCAGATAAAGAACAAAGACTATTCATACGATTAAATATTTATGATGCATTCCTAGCAATACCCCTCATATATATGCCCCTCAAATCAATTGTCTACTCCAAAGTTACATTGCTTGAGAGCTTAATGCATAACACTGCATGCAGGAAATAAAAATTCTTAAATTGTAAGTAAATAATCAAGCTATTCCTGTTCTCATATATATGATTTAAATATATTTACAAGAAAAAGTGTATTTCAAAAGAATGTAGATTTTCAACAGAGGTATCGATATATAGATTTTAGTAAGCACCAAGATTATTAAGCCAAGTGCATGTGTTGGCAAACTTTTATTTTAGTACATGCCCTTTTTAAAATAAAACATTGACTTATTTACTAATTGCTTTCCAGCGTGCTTTTAAATGAACACGGAAACCAGTTAACAAGGCAATGATATTTCTTCATATGCCAGAAGAGGGAGCCCCTTAATAACGCAATCAATTTCCTATCCGAGTCTCTCAGTTGCCATTCCTGAAGTTTCTGCTTTACATGAGGTTAAAGTGAGATGAAAAGCGAACGCTGCCAGAACGAATCTTTCTTTAGCTGTGTTTCACAGGCTAACAAAAGATAATTAACAAAACTGTAATTTTCTTTCATGCTTTCTTTTTCTGAGAACAAAGGAGACTAATAGCAAAGTTCCTGTGGTCTGCCTTCCCTACTCCTAAATTAATAAAAAATTGACCCCTCAAAACTCCAGCCTGTGTTTAAAGTGCCTTTCTGATACAATGCTGTGCAGCTTGAATTTTACTACACACGTAACACACAAACATCTGTGACTCATCTATGCGTGAAGATAAAAGGGGGGTGGTCCAGTGCAGGCTGAGAAGAGCCAAGAAAGAAAAGATCACTATACCCAGATTTTTTTTACAAGTAATTTTATGAGACAATGTCAGAATTGGCATTTATATCAGCCTTGGTTTATAGAACACAGAATAGACCTTCCAACTATTTTTCCATACCGTTCTTTTTGAGGGCACTTAACCCAGTAAAATTGGATATGCTCCATGTTTTACCACTCAGCTTATTTTCCTCAAACATATGTGTTTACTTCTCAAACTGAAACAGTAATCTTGCCATTGTCTTTTGTAATCTGTATTTGTAATAATGCAACATTGCTGACATTGCTAACAAACCACTGAGTTTACTGAGCAAAGGGGACTACTCTGACAACATTGCTTTGATAACACAGACCTTAGCAAAGTACAGTTCTCATTAGTTCTATGGGAGCAGGACTAAAAGGCTAATCTTTTTTTTTCTGCATGGATGTTTTGAAAATCCTTTCCCTGTTGTGCACCAAAGCACTTAAGCAAATACATAAAAATAAGCTTAAGTTAATTACTGATTATTTAAGTAAATGCAAACAGATTTTGCTGACTAGCAGTGGTCTTAGAGCAGGGGCTTGAAATCAAATCTGTGCTCAGCAGATTGAAGTCTAATGAGAGACTCAATATTGAAATCTTTACTTAAGCTTAAATTCCTAAAACGAAACCCCATTTCCAGTAAAGTAAATGGAAAAAACCTCCCTGTGACTTAAAAAAGGAGCAGGGTTTCTAACACTGGCCTCAGTAGGAATTTTGTCTGGACAGAGCTATGCCATGGACCTGAGAGTTTTTACAGAAAGGCTAATGTGAAGGAAAGCAGAGTATTTGTATCTGTGGAATTTGTTGAGGTGCAAGATTTTTCACATTACTGAAAATAAGCCTCTTCCTACTAACAAGAGAAGGACAAATACCAGTTCCCCACCCCCTAAATGTGGGAAATAAACCGATGCTGATTACCTTCTAATATCCCACCTCCAATATGGAGCTATTTTAGGACTCAGACTTTGAAGGAAGTCCTTTGTTCACTTAGAAAAATAAATATAAACTATTTTCTCTTTACCTGCACTGGTGCCTGCACCGGTTGTGAGGTCTCCACCCATCAGGCCACCTAGGGGGTTGAAATTAAATACCTCAAGTGAGCACAATAAATCATAACAGTCAAACATTCATAACATTTGCTTTAACTTCAAGTGGGCTGCTCCAGTATACACCACAGTTTTCCTCTGGTTTTATAGAATTATAGAATCATAGAATACTTAGAGTTTGAAGGGATCTTTTAAGTTCATCTAGTCCAACTCCCCTTCAGAGAGCAGGGACATCTTCCACTAGATCAGGTTACTCAGAGTCCCATCCAACCTGGTCTGGAATGCTTCCAGGGATGGTACATCTACCATCTCTGGATAGCCTATGCCAGTGTTCCATCACCCTAATTACAATAAATAAATAAATTTCTTCCTTCTATCTAATCTAAATCTTCCCTCTTTTAGTTAAAAACAATCATCCCTTGTCCTATCATTACAGCTGCTGCTAAAAACCCCTTTTAAGTATTGAAAGATGACGGTTACGTCCTACTGGAGACTTCTGCAGGCTGAACAACCCCAACTGTCTCAACCTGTCCCCATAGCAGAGGTGTTCCAGCCCTCTGACAGTTTCTGTGGCCTTATCTGGACTTATTTCAGGTCCATGTCTCTCCTGTGCTGAGGGCTCTAGAGCTGGACACAGTGCTGCAGTGTGAGGTCTCATGAGAGCAGAGTAGAGGGTTAAACCACCTCCCTCAACCTGCTGCTCAAGCTTCTTTTGATGCAGCCCTTTAGCTTGCATTGGATCAGATGCATAGTCATAAAATTGCAGTGTTTAGTGTTACCAGCATGAGACTTTTCCCTTTAATGGACAAACAAAACATGTAGTACACAACATCTATCTTTTTAAAATTTTCATACTTCCATGGCATATGAAAAACCAATTATATTTGAAAGTTATGCATAGTAGTTCTAACTAACCAATTTTAGTTCACTAATGGCCCAAAAAGCAAAGGTTTCTACATAGAATTTGAAGGAAGAGACTGAAAGGTCCTGCACGAGAACATAACTCAGAAGCTATAATATATATTTACACAGCTTTTCATTTTAATTTCCTCAACCTTTCACAGACATTTGCTCTAAGGATTTTTAAACCTTCTCTTTGCACTTGGGAACCTCATATGGTTGTTTGAACCCAGTGTACTTAAGGATCTTGAAGTTGCTTCAGCCAGATTGAATGAACTTAATCCCCAATTACCCTATTCAGAGGTGAGCTCTCATCATCACCAGAGCAAAGCACAGCCTCTTGCTATACAAGGCACTCAGCTACAGAGCTTGACTAACATTTACCCATCAAGGAACTTGTGAATGCATAAAAGATAATAAATTCTGCGTTCAGCCTCCAGACTGATGATTGAACTAACGAGTGTCCTATTTTACTGCCTTCAACTTGTTTGTGTTGGCTACATTTTCTCCCCTGCTTCCGTAAGCTTTATGTTATAGAGAGTTCTTGCATGAATTAAGTAGACAAGCTGCCTTTTTATGAAACAGCAAATTGTCTGCCCTTTTATCCTTTATCGATTTCCTTTAATCTTAGTCAATATTCAGCTTTTCCTAGACCTTTTTTTTTTTTTTTTTTTTTTTTTTTTTTTTTAATTTTTTTTTTCTAATTTGGGAAA